GGCCACGTTCCTAGGGGGATCCGCGGGCCGCAGTAGAAGAGCGTGCGCTGCCCGGAGTAGAGAAGTCAGGAATATCACAGTTAGATATTGATTTGCGTGCAGTGGCTGAAGCATCTGCAAAGAGGAGGGGAGTGACCCCGCTTCTTTCGTGAGGGTGGTTAGGAGAGATAGGGCAAGAACCCCATCTGTGCGGCCCTAGGGAGGGAGACTTGGGAGTATAAGAGGAGAGGTACGTTTGGAAAACAGAGGGAAGGAGAGAGGTTTCTCCTGTGAGCGTCGGGTTCATTTATACCAGCCCCGCAAAAACAGCAGGAAAAGCCTGGAGAAGCCTGGTTCCGTCAGTGTCCGTGCCATGCCGGAATAATAGGACTGGCAGAATCCTGGTCTAACTTCTAATGTCATTCCTTTGCCTCCTCCCTCCCCATCACCCTATCATCTATTTTCCCTACTCCTTCCGGAACGGGGTATCCAGTAGCGCCCAGAAAATAGAATATGAAGCAAGTTCACTTTTGTTTCTTTTAAAGAACGAAAGAAATGACTAGCTCAGGGGTGGGCTGCTGAGAAACCTGGCCCTTGGCTCGCCTTGGGCTTATCCCAGGCACCTGTGCCTAAAGACGCGCCTGTTAGAGGTCTCCTTAAAAACTTCACACCTGACTGCCCCATCTAAGCAGTTTTAAATTGGAAAAGGAAGAGCCGACTGCAGGCCTCTCTAAAAGGTATTCATTAGAGTAATTACTAGGTCCTCTGCCTGCCTGGAGTTGGAAATTATTCCGCTCGGGAATATGCATTTGTTTCATGTTTTGTTTTTCTCAAAAATGTTGCAGGCTCTTTTCCTTTAAAGATATAGTTTCAAAGCAGAGGTACATAGGTTATAATGTTGCAGTGTTTGTTAAGGGAGAGGGCAGCGGTAGTGGTTCATAAGTAATTCTGAGATCCACGATCATGCAGTCCTTTCTGTTTTGAAGGGGAAAAAGAAGCAATATTCCAAATACGTTAGGAGAATGGTACCAGACTAATAGTAACCTCATGCCAGGTGGGGCAGTCACTCAAATATTGTTGGGATTAACCTAGGAATCAATAGGTTACAGCGAAGGAAATGTTAGCACTGGTGAATTTGGGTAAGGTATTTTCTCTTGAAAATAGGAATTAATAGATGTATAGGAGGAAAAAACCCAAAACATAGTCACTCTGGAAGGAGTAATACAGTAATAGCCCAGGAAACTTTAGTGTGGAGGTTTGTTCAGTGACTTTAGTATTACAACTGATTTAATATAACTTGTTACACATTTAACCAGCTTCAAATACATTGACATTCCAAACAGATACCCCAGTATTTTTGATGGATTCAGCAAAATTCACTTTCACTATTTTTTAGCCACAGTGTTTGTCTTTACTTAGCCATAAAGTGTTTATATTCATTAAGTTTCTTCAATAAAACCTTTACAACAATGGAAATAGTTGCTTTTTCTCGTGCATGTCAAAAAAAACATCTTTAGCCAAATGATTGAGTGTTATTGTGCAATTACAGATTAAATAATGGGAAAAAAAAACATTTTCTCTGAATCCATAACATGACTGATCCTTCTATGTTAATATTTCCAACTACCTGCTGGTTTTCTCCACTTGGAAATCTAGCCAAAATCTTAAACTTAGTGAGTCCAAATTTGAACAGTGCACCACCCCTTTCTTCTTCTGATATCCCAATGTCCTTTAAGATCATCTTAGAATGAGCTTTGGAGACCCCTTCCGCAGAAACTGTTTTAGAAAAGTAATAAAGGCTCATCTTCAAGGAAGTCAATCTTTTCTTTTGATGGCTACCACCCTAGACCTCTGCTATTCCAAAAGGTTCTTTCCTGTAACCCATTAAACTTCCCAAGGGTAATTAAGAACCAATTCACTTTTACTCAGCTTAACCTCCACCCCTGCCAAACACACACACACACAAACTTTCAGTGCCTTTCCATCATTCCTGTACTTACTAAGTACAGGAAGTCTTCATTTATCTGAGGATAATCATCAGCAAAGAAAAGCTCACTCAAAGTGAATCTATTTGATGTCCAAAACTCTTACCATAAACTATACAAAATAAGGATTAATCAAAATACTACCTATAAAAAGCCCTAAATTTTAGTCTTATGATTATAACCAAAACTATCAAATAGAACTATACTAATTGATTCTCTGTTCATTATAATAACTTCTATGCAATTATCTGAAAGAATGTAGTGGCATCTTAGACATGTCCAAGCATTTGATAAACGTTTGACTTTAACACATAATCATAAAGTTACTTTTGCAAACACTGATCCTCTCCCAGTTAATTTCTTTCATAGTGCCTTGTTGATTTCTCTACCCAGTGACTAACTGCCTGACTTTCATTTGTCAATCAGATGCTTTGCTTACGATTTGAGCTCCTATGTCTATTATTTGGCTGAAAATAAATGGTGTTCATAATATTTAACTTTCACCAGGGAGAGATTAGCCAACATATAATTTCATGTTGAGATTTTTGCTTCATTTTGCAACCTCAGCAAGTTGCAAATTGAGATTCAACAATGGTAATAATTTGAATAAAACTAATGAGCCTGAGTCCAAATATCACAGCCTGGCTTTTGAGATTCTCAGTTTAACTTCTTGAGTCTTAACTTCCACTGTCCAACTGTTTTTACTAATAGTAAAATACTCAAGTTTGTTAAAAAGTAATCACTTACCTTCCTCCCTTCAGTAGAGAACTGTAAAGCTAACTCCAAGAGCAGCAACAAGAGTCTACTCTAGCCTGCCAGTTAGGATTTTACCAAAAAAATTCTGAGATGTTCTAAATTAAAATTACAGCTTCCACAGAGTGAGAGAAAGAGACAAAACAGCTGTGGAACAGCTCTCACAAAAGATTGCTCACATTCCTGTATATCTGTTGGAATTTAGAATTAATTTCCAGGTGGCTATTTCTGGATTATCTAAAAAGATTGCAGCCAGGTACTGCAGAAATCCAGGAGCCTCCACTTATTTGCACATGAACTTCCCAATCTTTAGGAGCCCACACTTCCTTTCAGACTCTTGCACATCCTGGAATTAGCCCCTCTTACCATTGTCCATTCTCTTTGTCTATAGCTACTAGTAATGTAAATCCTTTCGGAATGGCTTAAATACCTTTTTTCCTCCTACCTGATCTATAAAAATGCTTGCAAAACCCCAGGGAGAAGACAGACATATTGTCTCTCCGACCTAGCCATGCTGGGGTGGTTTAAATTCCATACCCCAAAAAGTCTTTTGTGTGTGTGTGTAAAATTGGTCTTATAAACCCTTTCTTTTAAAAAAAAAAAAAAAAAGGCTAAGCTGTGGTAGTTAAAAAATTCTAACAGGTTATTGGATGCTTTATTTGCCTGCAAATTTGGGAGAACAGGGCAAGCATTCAGCCAAATCCAGCCGTTGGAAATGTGTTATCCATTATATGTGGGGTTTGTTTTGTTTTGGGGTTTTTGTTTTTTGTTGTTTTTGAGGGGTTAGGGAAGGAAAGCTTGAGAATCACAGGGCTTGCCCCAGATGATGTCTCTGCTTTATTCATGGTGGTTGCTTTTCCTTGGAATGCTTTCCCTGCCTCTTGGTCTGCAAATCTCAATATCAACCTGCCTTTTAGTAGTAAGTAGCCTTTTAAAAGTCTACAATTTTCCCCACCTCCCAAGTGGATGTATTTGTCCTTCATTTAAAGTACCCTGCTATTGCATTATCTCTACAACAGTCATTTGCCCCTGTGGTTGTTTGCTAAACTGTTAAGATTCCCAAGGACAAAAATAGTGGTCAATTTGCGCTTAATATATACTCAAACATTTTCAACTGCCCATGCTCAAAGTTTGAGGTTCCACTGTATAAGAATTCTAAATCCTGTAACATTTTCCCTCACTACCGTTTTTGTGCCCTGAAAAAATCATAAAATTTGACATACCATAGACCTTCACTGTTCAAACCAAACAGTTAAAATGGCTTATGTGAATTAAAACAGTAAAGCATTGCCCAGCCAGTGTGGCTCAATGGTTGAGCATTGACCTATGAACTAGGAAGTCATAGTTTGATTCCCGGTCAGGGCACATGCCCAGGTTGTGGGCTTGATCCCCAGTGTGGGGTGTGCAGGAAGCAGTTGATCGATAATTCTCATTATTGATGTTTCTGTCTCTCCCTTCCTCTCTGAAATCAATAAGAAATATATTCAAAAAAAACAGAGCATTTAACATTATGTACATGAGTATTTCTTTTAAGTATAACAGAGCAAAATGCAGATGACCTTAAATTCTGGCTAATGAAGTAGATAAGATTCAAGTCAGACTTTACTTTTAAATCTCAACATAGCCTTGCGACAGCTTAGGAAAGCTGCTCTGTCTCAGTAATGAAGACAGGAGTGTGAGGCATGGAATGGAAACCTCATTTGTTTCTGCAACATGTTACTTCTAGTGACTAGTCCCCCATTTAGAAATGGTGCTAAAAATAATTTTTTCTGTTTCTGTAATACTTCTGAGATGCTCTTATAATCCTGAACATTCTGGAAATCAGTACAGTATATACATTTTTAAAAAATATATTGTTATTGATTTCAGAGAGGAAGGGAGTGGGAGAGAGTCATTGATTGGCTGCCTCTGGCACTCCCTCTACTGGGAATCCAGCCCACAACACAGGCATGTGCCCCGACCAGGAACCAACCACCACCTCCTAGTTCATAGGACAACACTCAACCACTGAGCCACACTGGCCAGGCAGAATATACTTTTGAAGTCACTCTTTAATCACATTTTTAATTATTTATACTGTCAATAGATTGCAACAGAATACTGTTTCCCCTTGGTGCTGATTGTATTAAAGTAATTACCTTAGAGAGGCCCAGCCCTGCTTGCCACATTTTTCCCTTTTGAATTTCTAGGTTTACCCATAATCAGGTAATTTATGTCTGTAGCTTGTTTTTTTGTCTTTTAGGTCTCTACATTCTAGCTTAATTATTTTTAATACAATCTGTCTGAAACAACTTCGTAGCTACATTTGCCGACCCAGACTTTTTTTTTTTTTCATCCTCACTAGAGGATACTTTTCCATGATATTTTTAGAGAGAAGGAAAGAGAGAAATATTGATGTGAGAGAAACACATCGATTGGTGGCCTCCTGCACGTGCCCTGACCAGGGCCCAGGCTGGGGAGGAGCCTACAACCAAGATATGTGCCCTTGACTGGAATCGAATTCTGGACCCTTGGGTCTGCAGGCCGACGCTTTATCCACTGAGCCAAACTGGCTAGGGCTACTCTTTTGATTAAAGGCTTTTGTAATTTGAGTTTAACTAACTTGGGTAAATGAGCAGATGCAGAACTATCCTTCAGAATAACACTTCTTCACCTTTTTGGTGATCACAATCCCTTAAAAAATCTGGGGTATGCTATCTATACTAATAAAAGGATAATATGCTAATTAGGGCAGACATCTTCCGGACGTCCGTCTGGACCAAGCCACAGCGGCTGCGAGGCCCGGGGCTCAGGCAGCCATGGGCTCACGGCAACCGTGGGCTCAGGCAACTGTGAGCCCCGGCAGCTGCGAGGCCCAGGGCTCAGGCCTCGCAGCTGCCACGGCCGGCAGTGGCAGCAGTAGTGGGGTGATGAGGGCGGCGTCTTCCCCTGATCAGCCTGGTCACCTCCTGCAGAGGGAGGCCAGACTGCGGCTTAGGCCCACTCCCCTGAGTATGTTC